CCTGAACCTCAGAAATAAATATATTCCGGTCTCTAATAGACTTACTTGTAGAGACAGCTTACTTGTTACTTCCTGTTTCTTTCTAGGAGTTGCCTAAATTGATTAGCTTAAAAATTTTAGCCATGCTTCTTCCAGCTAACTGTGGCATCAAGACGGTATATAGCCCATCATGTTATCTAAAGAATGAAAGGGATTGATGTGCTATATTTGTCAGAACATTAAAATCCTTTTTAAGAGATCCTTTTCTTTTGCAAACAAGGCTCAACTAAACTTATTTTTTTGAAGTTTAGTTTGTAGAATATCTTCATGCATACTAAATAAAAACCTTGTTGTGGATTATTTTATTGGTTTGAATATTTAATTCTTAAGACTATTCTGATCCTTATTATAAAATTTGATAGACTTGCTCAATTAGAATTATGCGTGGAACCCTTTTTCGAGTTCCTTATACCATAGTCTAAGCAAACGCCACCATGGTCTCATATATAATAAGGACACTGTTTGAAGCTTCGTCAATGGGGATTCTGGGCTCAACCTACTTTTTTATTCTTAAGGAATCACTTGGTACATTTGGGACTTCGTCAATGGGGACTTCATCAATAAAGATGATTTTTTCCATTTATTTTCACATTTTAACTAGGTAAAAATAACTAATATGATTGGTTGACATCTAAGGTACTATTTAGCATCACTTGTATGTTGATAATATAATTTATATCCACCAATATGAGATCAAAAACATATAAATCTCAACATTGACACCATTTATCTTCAACAAAAAAAATATTGGAGTATTACATATATTTGACAAAACATGATCTAAACTTATTACTACATCAAATTTAATAATATTGCCATCCATATCACCTATACAAGCACCAAGAATGGAACACAGTGGAGAATCGCTCCTGGAGGCAACACAACCAACTATCCTTTATCAGCACAATAGACAATAGCAAGAGTTGCATATTAAGCTTAACAGATTAATAATACTCTGATAAGCACAAGTAGGATGATACGGGGCCTAACACTATGAATTAGCGGGGTATATTATTGATTATAATCATAAAGCATCATTGAAATAATATTTACAAGAGCACAATGTTTGTATTAGCAGTCATAGATCTTACATGCCCTTGTACGTAATGCAATAATGCATTTGAATGGAAAAACCTAGGCTCAATGGCACATTAATGGTTAATATGATAATACAGTAACAATGGTTTACAAAACAAAGTCTATTCCCCGCTTTCTGAAATGATGTGCACAGAAAACCAGAGCAAAGACCCATGACTGAATTAAGCGATAAAAATAGAAAATAACTGCAATGATTTGCAAATTGTATTTTTCAATGGAATGAGAGAGGAATATATCTCATAAGATTCTTTTTATAAGCTGGAAACACGGAGGACAGGGACTTCTAAAACTTCTTCTGAACCACCAGGCTTCCTGCAATTCTCGGGAATTTAAGTGCTTATTCAATTCTTTAAACCCTTGGCATGGTACATTTCTTGCTATACCTGTATTCTTGGAGTTAAAAAGTTTCATCATCCAAACAAAGAAGTTCTTCAGCTCCTTAAATTGGTTTCTTGTCACCAAAAATTGCTTGCAGTCAATGTGATCGCCTAAGTGGTAAAAAAAGGATAAGCAAGATCGTGTAATTGTGGGCTCCGAAAAATTCGGCCCCGGCCTCCCCCGCGCCGATTTCTATTTTTTTTTTATCCGGCGAGGGAGTTTTAATGAATTAAAGTTCGGGTAAATTTTGGAAGGCAGATGGTTTTGTAGATAGACACTACCCAGAGGTTTCCCCTTATTTTGCGAGGACTTTATGATCTGAGTTCTGGTTTCCTATAGGTGCAAGCCCCTATAGTTAATTACCCCTCCCGGTAACGAGAGAGAACTTGCGATTAAGGGCTAGTCATCAATCAGATTCGTATAGAAATACGTGCATCTGGCATATAGTAACAACAAATAGGTATGGATTGGAATTTGAAGAAGAGTTTGTGGAAGGTTTTGAAGGATTGATATTTAAAAATAGAAATTTCACCATCCTACACTTAAAGCGGATGGTGGGGGAATTGAATGAAGAACCCGATCAAGATCCCTGGTTCTGTCGTCCCGGCCATCGTGGTCCCTGGTCTACTTAGTCACGAGGAGGTAGTCGACCCAACCTGACAGAAGGATCCTTGTCGAGCCATGGGTTTGTTTCCGTCCAACGGACCTTGTAGACCTGGGGTGGGTATTTGCCTAAAGGGGACAAATTTTAATCCACCTTTAGCTACACAGAGAGGGCTTTGTGGTCCTATCGATCACATCCTATTGATTCATATCTCAAGGATTTGATGCCATTAAGAAGGTATTGGACCTTGGCCATAACCGGTATATCGTATGGTGGCCATTTGGCGGAAAAACCACTCGGTTCAGAGGGCCCCCGAGTCGTCCGTAACCGTTTATCCTGCCGGTGCCATTTGGGGCACACCGCCGGTTAGAGGGACACGTACCACGTCCTTAC